CCCCCCGCCCTTTACGGCCGGCGGCAACTGCTGCGCCGCTGGTCCAGGCCGCCTGCGCGCGCAGCGAGCAAGGCTGCGAGGTGATGACAATTCCAATTGATAGTATTGCGTCTCTTTCAAGTGCCAGGGGAACCTCCGAACTCGCTCTTTCCTGGTCAGCACAAGTGTCCGCGAGGCTTCGTTGCTTTGCCACTGATTGCGCGCAGGAAAACTAGGGTTGCTTTTATACCATTGATGTATGTCCCACGTCATCCATCAGTGTCAGAGGGCTGCCAGGACGCGGGGGACCTCGAGTGACTGGGTGCTGGGCCACGCGCGAGGGTCATCGGGTGGCTCAAAACCCCCAGTACCCAACACTTAGTAGCTACGGCGGGCGTACGGGACCCAGGGAGCCCTCAAGGTGCGGGGCACCCCATCGCGCGAGCAGGACTGGGTGTCCGCACTCGCTCACAGCAAGCAACGACAGGCCCGCAGACGGGCCGCAAACGCGAGTTTTCCTCGTCGGAAAGCTGAAGCCGTGCTGCGAGCCGGGGACGGCGCTGAATGGCACGGGGCACGAGCGCGCCGCGTGCGTTTGCCTCGCCTGCGTCGCGGGCGTCCCGAGGGTCTGTGCGAGGGTCGAGAGCGCCCATTCGCCTTCCTACGCAGGGCTGGACTCGTCGGGCGAGCTGTCGGGAGCGGTGGGCGACGCGACCGCGCGCCGTGCGCCGGCCTGGCCCGGGGCGGAGGCGTGGCCGCCAGGTGCGAGGGGCCGCGGGCGCCGAGGCGGCGCGGGGGGCGCCGCGGGGCGGGAGCCGCGATCAACGGGCCGCGGGCGGCGCATCGCGCGGCGGCGGCGCCGCCCAGGCCTGGGCGGCGGCTTGTGCAGCGAAGCGTGCAGCTGCGGCCCGCATCAGGGGCCGGCGCGGTCCTGCTCTCGGCCTTGCCCCGTGCCAGGCCGGCGCCAAACCCTTGCAATTCCCCTGCACCCTGTCCAGCAGCGGCACCCGCTCGACCATTCCATCCCGCCACCTCCCAACCCCACCCCTTCCTCCCCACCCCGCTGCCGCCGCCGCCACCCGCTCGTCATGCAGGCTCCGCCCCTTCCTCCCGGCGCGCCGCGCCCAGCGGCGGGCCCGGCGGCGCCGCCGCCGCGGGGCTGGGCCCGGGCGCAGGGGGTCCCATGGACTTCTCGGCGCTCTTCAATGACCCCTTCCTCAGCGACTTTGACCTGCAGCTGGTGACGTCAGAAGGGTGTCATGAAGTGCAGCGCTACCCGGTGCACGGAGCCGTGCTGGCGGGGCAGAGGTGAGCGCACGTGCGCGCTCCGGGGCGGGGCCGTGCCTGTGCATGTGTATGTACGTGTGTGTGAGTTTGCGCATGCGTGTGCGCCCCTAGCGCCGGGCACCCGTTGATATCGGTGCATTGCCAGCCCTGGGCCGAGCGGCCCGTGGTCCTGTGTGTGCAGTGGCGGGGCGCGGCGCGCTAGGCGGCCGACGCCCGCGTCTGGCCAGGGGGTGGGCCCAGCCCAGCTCTGGGCAGTCGCAGGTGGGGCCCCAGTACACACTGTCCCTTGATTCACACATCACCATCCCCTCCACACACACACACACGCACACACACGCACACACGCACGCACACACACACGCGCGCGCGCATCGTCGCCACACCGCTAGGACGCCCCGCCCTTCATCGACCCCGCTTTTGTGTATCTGATATCATACAGGCCACCAAAAACCCCATCTCATCCAGTCTGATTTCACCCAGCCCCACCCTCACGACCTGCCGTCGTTCTCAACCCCTGTAAGCCTACCCCAATAAACCACCTTTGATCTCCGAAACCCCTGCGACCGGCCCCCGCAGCCCCTACTTCAAGGCGCTGCTGCAGAACTGGACCTGCTCCAGCGCGCGCCTCATCAGCATCAAGGTGCAGGGCGGGGCGGAGCAGGATGCGGCAGACATGATGCTGCGGTGCGCCTACTCGGGCAGCGTGCCGGCCGAGGCGACGCCGGAGCAGCTTTTGGCCTGTATGGTGCTCGCGGACAGGTGGGGTTTCAGGCGGTTTCGGGGGTTTCGGGCGTTTTCTTTCGGGTTCAGAGTCCGGGGCGGACCGTGTTTTTGGGGGGCGGAGGGGGGTCGGGGCTGGAGTGTGTTTGGAGTGGATGGGGGTGGTGTGAACTTTGGGAGTTAAGGGTGGAGTGTATCTGGAGAGCACGGCGGTGGTAATCGGCCAGAGTCAGAGGGCCGGTCGTGTATTCAGGGTATTGTGATGGCCGGTGCCCGCTGTGTACTGCCGGAATGACGTCACTGCAGAGCGCCCGCGGGCGGGCGGCCTTGGTGACGCGTGTGCTGATGGGGGTTGTGGGGGCCGAGGGGCCGTGGCCGCGGGGTGGGGAGGGTTCCAGCCGCGCGGCGGCAGTCGGGCGGACGCCGGCGGCGTGTATGGGACACCCGTTCCGCCGATTTGCCAACTGTTCGTGCTGCGCAATCAATGACAACCCCTGAACATGTCAGACGTTTGCACCTCATTATTAGTCGACATTATCTTACTCCTGTTTACTGTGTGTCCTGCGTTTTATATCTCAAAGGAGACGTGCTCACGGCGCCCCTCAAACCCCCAAAACCCCGGCCCCCAGGTACCAGCTGCGGCACTGCGTCGAGGTCTGCCGCCGCGCGATCCACGCCGTCGACAGCGCCCGCGTCAGCTGGCCGGCCACGCTGGCGCTGCTGCACCTGCCGCCGGGGCTGCAGGAGGTCGACGCGTTCAGCAGCCTGGCGGAGGTGCGCGCGCGCGCGTGTGTGTGTGTGTGTGAAAGGGTGTGTGTGTGTGTGTTTGTGTTTGGGGTGGGTGGGCAGGTGGGTGGGTGTGTGGTGGGGTGAGGCGCGTGAATGCTCGTGAGTGTGCCGGCGGGCAAATGGGCCGGGTCTGGATGTGAAGTGACTGCCGTGGACTGGCTGGGTGAGCAGTACTGGGCTGTGGGGCTGTCCCGCTGCTGCGGACACGCAACAGCCCGACAGCATCCGGCTGCCCGCAGCACCGCCGGACCGGGGGCGCGCGCACGAGCGCCCGCCGCCTTGCGGTCCCGCAGCCTCCCTCCCCC